AAGGCCTTTAGTCAACAACATGACATGTCCAGGCCTGTGCGTCTGAACTGACCGCACTCGGCTCAGTGCATCTCAGTGACCACGAGTGACCGCCTCGCCGTCTGAACCAAGCGACCGTGACCCAATGAAACTTAATGCACCCTACATCCAGCAGCCACGGGCAAGTTCACGCCGGGGAAGTGGACAGCGTGAAGACAAAGGGCCAGTGGTCAGGAGGGTTTGGATATTCTGTGGTTTTTCCCCATTAATGTAGAACGTGCAAAGAATCTTCCAACTATAGGTGCGCCCAATCTTACAAATGTTATTAAAAGAAGTCAAATTTCACCTTGGCAACAATATTGTGGCTTACTTCCCACACAAAGCTGTTATTTATTGCCAACAATGAACCATCATAGGGGTGACAGTGGCTCAGTTGGAAGAGCATTGGCTTTTGGGCTTGAAGGTCGTGTGTTCAAGCCCACTTCACGACTCCCACTGATGACTGCTGTCGTTGTGTCCTTGGGCACAACACTTAACCCCACTTTGCCTGAAGCCCCCGATGAAAGATCAATCCTGTGGACCCACCACCTGCAGTGAGGGGTTGGTGCTATGTGTACTGGGTGGAGCTCTGACCCCCCCCCGACTCAGAAATGGATTAAGGGGAAGAAGATAGATGGATGGATGAACCGTCATAGCCCAAAATTTCACTAATAATAGAGCCAACGGGGAAGTCTTTTGATGAATGATTCTTGTTTTGTATTCATCATAAAATGCTGTACAACCATCCATTTATTTTGCTCTCAGGGGCAGCAGTCTGAGTTAGGATGCCCAGACTTCCCCTCTCCAGATCATCAAGGAGTATCCAAAGTGCTCCCAGGCCAGCTGAGAGACTGTGTCCTCCAGTAAGTAAGTAATCTTTATTTTAATACCGCCTTTCACAGACCAGAGTCATAAGCGGTTTACAATTGCTATTTTTAGTAAGTCCTGGTTCTCTTCCCGGTGGGACATGCCTGTGACTCATCCCCAGGGAGGCTTCCTCAAGAAAACCTCCACTAGCTCCTCTGGCTTTGGCGAAGCAGCAGCTCTACCTTCGGGGTGACTGAACTCCTAGCCACTCAGCGGAGGAAATTCATTTTGACCACTCGTATTCGGCATATTGTTGTTTTGGTCATACAGTGAATACAATTCCCTGATTGGATGCCCTCTATCCAATCAGAGAGCAGACTGCAAAAATGAAAATGAGGCTATAATTGCTTGAATTGAGTTCCTGTTTTTATCTTACTTTGATACATTTTGACTGTCTTAAAACAAGATTTGCAAATGGCCATTTAGTCATATTTAAAGAACAGTTCTCACTGCAAGAGAGACTTTTCTTGTATCTTTTTAAAACAGGATAATTTGACTTGTCTTATTGGCAAATCTGATTCAAATTAAGCTACTCTTTGCCAAATTTGAGAAATTCTTGATCAATATTTCATCACTTTTTGTAGTGCAGAATGAGCCTACCTAAACACCAGTACAAATACAGTACATCAAGACGAGAAATTATTCAAGTTTATGTGGAACTTAAAGTCTTGTTTTTTAGCTGAATATAATGAGGAGCAGCGGTCACATGTCTCTTGTTGTCCTTCAGACGCACTAATGTTCAGTGCAGCATGAAGTCCAACGTCACCGCACAGGCCTCATCATAGCACCATCCATTATTCACACATTTTCCAAAGTCACTCATAACATGTCGCTCAGTGTGCTGCGGTAACGTCATCACTAAAGTCTGTTTGAATGCAAAATTATAGTCTTACGTATGAGATTATCAGATATTGCAACAGAGTAATCGTATTCACATGTTTGAAGGCTAAAGTTAATTCTGACTTGTTTGCAAACTACTGCCCATTTACTGCATTACACACTCTGGTCAAATTTCAGCAGTTTTTCGTTGGTAGTGTGTCTGACCAATCTTTTTGTTAAAACAATCTATAAACACACACGCACACACACACACATTACGGTCATACTAGGCAATTTTGGTGAAGTGTCTTGCCACATGGACACAACCACAGATTGGCGTTATCAATCCGCAGCACAGTGGCACCAGTAAGTAAGAAAGTAATCTTTATTTATATAGCGCCTGGTTATAGCCCCAGAGGTCTTCCACCACAGTAATAACCAGGCCCTAGACCCCACAAGTGTTAATTATTAAGGTGAATACTACACAAGCACTAGGTTGTGTTTTCAACATTGGATAACTTTATAAATTGGATTGACCAATATGTTGGACAGAATTACCAATTTGCATGGGTTGGTGATATGACCACTATATGCTGAAAACACTCACCATTCACCCTGACAAGTAATCACCTAATTAATGTTATATAGCACTCTTTTGGACACTCAAAGACGCAACACATTTCATTATTCTTTCACTCCATACACTATAAACTACAATTGTACCCACAGCACACTGGCCAGTATGTGCAATCAACCATGCACACAGGCCAGACTCTTTCTAGGCAATGTGGGTGAAGTGTCTTGCCAGAAACCCAAGAGCAGTTTGGCATTTTACATCCACAGCTGACCCTCTGTGGCACCTGGTCTTCCAAGAGGTCTCCCATCACAGTGCTAACCAGTCCCTGCCCTGCTTAGCTTCAGAATTCTGACAGGATCTGGCTTTCACATGCAGATATGGCCACAAATTGCCCTGTAATTGTGGGCGTTGTGGTTAGTACTGTGACGTAAAATGCCAAACTATTGTTGTGTGATCGGTGGTGGTCGGCCAACAGGATTGATTCGTCTTACCAACAATGCAAAAAAAAAATGGTAAATGTGTTTTTAGAGTGCAGAGGGAGTAAAATAACATCCGTTGCATAACACTTAAGTGGCTTGTTTTTATCAGCTTGTAACAAAAGGCTGGCACGGCTCGGCCTCGATAGCATCACAACACGAGTCGTATCGGATGGCTTAATCGCGCCTTGATTGGGAACAGTGTCTCTCAGGCTTATCGGCCATAGCTTCTTGTCGGCGGCGTTTGTTCTTAAGTGAATTTCTTTTGTTTGTGTGACGCGAGTGTGTCCAGTACAGTCTGTGAGCTCACCTCTTCATAGCCCCTCAGAGGTAACTGGAGTGTGGGGCTTCAAACCGGCCTCATGCGCAGAACCCATGCTACCAGCTCGGGACGGGGGGGGGGGGATCGGGTGACTTCAGCTGAAATATTAAATAGACTTGAAAAAACAAAGGGCAACCAGATTCCACCAGGCGTTTGTGGCACGGCTCAATATTAATGATTGAGAGACAGTGACATGTTGACATAAGGGACAGCAGACGGGGCAAGGGGGAAGGACGGGGCAATTACTACACCCATGTGCCTGGACAGAAAGAAAGTCTGGGTTTTATACTCACTGACTTCGTTATTAAGCTAAAGTCAGAGATTTTGTACTTAATTCTTGCTTCTTCATTATGATACATTTGCTGCTTTACATCGCTAAGGCTATATTTGTTATACTGCTTATTTTTTATGCTAGTTTTTTTTTTACACCTGATATTTTTCATGCTAGTTTTTTATTTTTAATGTATTATTGAGTTATTGTTTAAATATCTTGTGCTGTGGGCTCCTCGTTTCTACTGTCTGTACTTGTGATGCAAAACTGATATTTCCCCACTGCGGGACAAATAAAGGATCTCTTCATCTTGATATAACTGGGTTTTTACTCAACTTTACAGCCACTTGAAATATATAGTATCTTTTCAGCTCCAAATATGTAGCCCTCCTATATTAGACTTTTAGATTTTTGCTTCATGACAGGTCCCCAAATCCGTGAAACCGGAATTGTTAAGACGCACATTTTTGTCATTCTACAGTGAAATAGATCCAATGTCCAGGCTCCAGGTATACTCTACACTTTCATATTTACAATGGGAAATACAGATGGACTTTGGAGTTTTTGATCTTTCTCTGCGCAAAGATCGTTCCCTCTTAAGATTAAATTAAATCCGCCATCAGAGGCCAAAAAATTGTATGGATGGATTATTTTGCCATTTCTTCTAGTCTGGATGAAACCGAGATCACAATGGTGTTTGTATGAGTCTGCTGCTGACATGCGACACTGGGGTTGATTAAATAGTGAGGAAATAATAACTAAATGGCTCAGTAAGGACAATAAATACACTTTATAGAATCAAGAATATAAACTTAGAAATTACTTCAGCTTAAATATATGTTTTACAGTACAAAATCTTGACAGTCGTTGATACAAAATATTTGTGCCGTCTGCACTTTACATTGTAACAAAAGTTTTATGTAACACAGTTCAGTTGACGCCATATTGGTTCAATCTTACTATCAAACTACATGGTTTTCAAAACCATGTAGAAAAGCGAGCCCTTTTATGTTTCACATTCAAACGACAGAATGTGCCCTGTACGTCTGAAAAAGCTGATCTAAAGGTGTGAGATGTTAGGCCAAAAGATATACACGTGAAAACCAGCGATAGAACCTGTTTTGAGAGCCATGGGAATTGAGAGTGGTTCAATACTGTATATTATATTTCAGGTATGTGTGGTTTGAAATGTAGATACCGCTGCATTGAGTAAAAGCAGTTCTATTCCTGGCAAAATATTTTATAAAACCAAAAATGGCTTCATTTTCCATCAAAGAAAAACAGGAAATGCACAGTATACTCTCTTAAATCTTGGTATTTCGTCCCCCCACAATCGAGCCCTAACATTATTCCAGACCCTAACCGTAATAAAAATAACTTAATATCTGATTGTAACTCTTAAACACATCTTTAAATAAAAAAATAGCAACAAAAACACTACAATCCTGTTATTTTGTCCCAGGAAGAGGTTCACACACCTTTTCCAGCAATTAATTAGCAAGATTTTAGTGATTACATTCTGGTAAAGAAAATTATGCATTGACGTCATCAACTCAAACCAATATGGCGTCAGTCGATACGTAACATACATTACAGTGTTGGACTTTTATTAAAAAAAATATTATTTGGCATCAGACTTTGACTGGCGGCTCAGTAATCCATGCCGTGCAGCCGGTTCTTGCGCTCTGGTTTCTGCAGTGGTGTGGGCAGCAGCGGCAGGTTCAGATCGCTCAGTCCTCTTTGCAAACTGGCCTTGATCTGCACCGCATTCCTCTTGACCACCGCGGCTCCAACGCGCTCCGTAGTCGCCCCTCCCGTGTGCACCGACAGCTCCCTCCTCTTGCCCCTGTCCTGTCGCAGACTCTTAAACACCAGGGTGTGCTGTCGCGGCGGATACACGGCCGGTTTGGAGCCGTTCACCAGCAGCCCCGGCGGCCTGCTCAGCCACGACGTCAACTTCCGGTTTCCTCTCGTGTCTTTTGTCGCGGTGGTCTTCAATCGCGGCAAGGGCGAAGGCACGGTTTCCATGCTGTCTCTGTCGGGCAACGCGTCAGTGTCGAGAATCATCCTCGCCGAAACGGGAGCGTGATCCGTGGCGTAAAAAGTCTGCAGTTTCTCCAGCCGTTCAGTGTTAGCAGGTAAGTGGTCGTCCTGGTGATAAGAGAGAAGAGGAGCTTTATATCAATATATTTTGAGACGTTTCATTGACTTACATTGGTCACCTGATGTCACATGACCAATGCAAGGATGCAAGCACCCCCTCCACTACCACCTGTACACGCCGCAGAGAGGGTCCATTGCGTCAGAACTAAGAGGGCGGCAATTTCATCCAACCTTGAAAATCCACAGCAGATAAATTCACCACCACAGCATTGACACGCAAGTTGGACAACATAGCATTGGGAGAAAGATTTGTGTTTTAACTCATGGAATGTCAAGTTTCCTATTTTGTTTTTGCTTCCTTAGTCAGAACTACAGGCGTGGAGCCAGACTGCAAACATGGCAACCCACTTCTCTCTAGCCGTGATTGGACAGCTAACGGCTCGCACCGGTGGATCTGCATTACTTTATGAAAGGAATTGAGAGCCAAATATCAAAGAAAGCGGACATTCAGTTCAATAATCAGTGATTTATTTTGATTGCCACTCACTGAGACCCATCAAAGGAGCAGTAAATAAAAACTTGGCCAAAAGGTTGGCAACCTGACTCAGGTTGCCAGATATGCAGACGAATCCAGCTGGGACGATAATATCTGAATAAAGAGTTTCGTCAACAATACATTTATAACCAACAAATTTTTCACAACGATAGAAATCCTAGTTTTATTCCTTGTTTGTTCGGATCCTCAATGTAATAATAATGCATGGTCCTTATGTTGTTATTTTTGTGACACTGAGAAATACAAAGCGAAACCCTGCTGAGCCTCTGAGATGAAGCAGGATCAGGTGTACACAATATTCCAGGTGAATGGCACGTACTGAGTCTCCGGTGTTGAGAAGGTGGTTGTCACGGAAACAGTGGGAGGCGGGCTCTGCAGCGGTGGTCCCGTCAGAGCGCGTGGTGCGGAGCAGTTGGGCGAGGAGGGCAGGGCGTGTGAGGGCGGAGCTCACCTGACAGGGGGCGGAGTCACACAGCTGAGAGGCGGAGCTTTTGGGGGGCGACAAGCGCACCAGCTCACGCTCTCTAAACACGGTCACTGTGAAAAATCAAAGACAGTTGTAAAAGAACAGCCGCATCCAAAATCATTTTTTTTTTTTTACTTATTTGGTTTTTGTTCAAGCTGTGGTATCTAACTTTTTTCTGGTCATGAATAATCCCTTTTGTTTGACTTAAAGGAGCAGTATGTAAAAATCTGCCCAAAAGTACTACTGCAAATCCTCGTTTTATTCCTTGTTTTGTCATTAATAAAATGAGAATCATAACAAGACCTTTTTTAGTTCTGCGGCCACATGTTAACAGTGAGATTAGCTCGACATGGTGAGTTCTGGCAACATGGATCCCAGCCTTTCTGATTGGTTAAACAGCGGAGGGCGGGACATCAAAACAAAAACAATAACAAGATATAGGGGCTGTGAAACTAATTTTGAAATTTAAATATCTCGGCTGAACTACTGTTTTCAGTTAAAGAAGTATCCTAAAAAGAGCATGGTTTATTAATGCCTTTTGACAGATTAAGGCCATCTAATGATGACTTGAAATGAAAATCTTGCATATTGCTACTTTAAACTGTTGTGAACAAATTTGACCACAGCAAAACAGGTCATTAGTTATAAGCTGAGCTGGAGGTCCTCACTTCTTCACCTTTCTATAAAAAAAAAAATCTGATCTAAAGATGTGACTGATGCCAAACTGTTTTGAGAGTGAGAAACTAACTAATTTTTTTGTGTTTAGAAAGTTAGGTATCCCAGCTTTAAATGTCTTTGATAACAACATACGCTTTAGGATTTAACACTTTTCAATCGGAGAGAATCCTCATGAGGATGTGCAGAATATACCTTCAGGAAACAGTGGCTCTTTTGGCCCAGGCGTGACCTCCTCTTCTTCCCCCTGGGGAGCAGGAGAGGGGGAGGGTGCTCGCGGGACAGGGGGGGAGGCGGTCTGAGGTAGATGTGGCAGAGAGGGGAGCGAGGGTGGCTGGATCTCCTCCTTCACCAGCTCCCTGTCTGCTGTCTGTGGAGGTCTCTGTGCTCGGACCCCCTGTTTGGGACCTTTGACGTCGGACGCATTCTTCTGGAGAAACAGAAGGAAACAGATCAAAACTATGGATGGTCTTGGTGGACGGCCCCCTGAAGTGAATCTGAATATTTAAATGTTGTGAATTTTATGAACATGAAAAAAAAACACAAAAAAAAAAACCCCTAAAAAAAACAAGGTAAAGCAATGAACGTACAAAGCAACACTGTACTGTACATGCACATGGACACACATGGGCAGCAGACTAATATGTTAGCAGACATCATGTGAGTAAGTAAATAAGTAAGTAATCTTAATTTATATAGCGCCTTTCACAGACCAGAGTCAAAAAGCGCTTTTCAATAGTGGGCATTTGTCTCCTACTCCACACAGACATTATTCCAAAAATAGAATGTGTCCAAAACAGTATAATGATTTTGAATTCCTATTTAAATCATCAGGTGTTTCTTCCATGCCTTGGTTTTGCCGGGAAGTAGTCATGTGTATTGAATTTTGTTGACGGAAAAATTGTTTTAATTAATGTAGTCCTTGACATGACAATCACACTTATTTCTACAATCATGCAGCCCTAATATGAAGATGTTGCTTATCTGATACAGTACTGTCATTCACTGTAGAACATAACAACCTCATCCTCATATGTTTCAACTGTAGCCACAGCTGCCCTGGGTCTGACTGACGCAAGTGAGGCTAGTCTGCACCATTGCCCCCCTCCAATCATCATTCATTACTCACAAACCAGTTTTCATACTGGGCAATGATGTCGAGGTGTCACAAGGAGCCATGTCCGTCCCTCTGTGGCACATTCCCTAACCCCAACCCTACATTTCATTTCAAACATGATTCTGTTGTCATAAAGATACCGTGTTTGTGCCGTAATTTGTCTGTTTTTTTGTTCGGTTGAGTGTATATGTTCGTTTTTGTTTAATTTTTTACATGTTTGCTTATGTCGTTTAAAAAGAAAGAAAGAAAAATCAATAAAAACATATTCATGATTAAAAACATAACATGATTGATTGACTCCACTCCTACCTGTTGGACTTTTATTTCACTGCCATTCCGCTCTTTCCACGTGTTCTTGCTCGGCAACGTCCAATCGTTTTCCAATCTCTGTCAAATAGAGCAAAAGTGTAAGCCACCGTTTGAAATGTAAACAGACAGTTACATGAGGGTTGGTTCGGTGGACCTTTGTAGTCTTGGCTCCTTTCTGGCTGCGGTGGAACTTGTTGAGCAGCAGGTGGTAGTAGGTCATGATGGGGGAGGGCCGGTTGTTGGTCAGCGTGTGGATGACGTCAGAGAGGGAGAAGCCCAGGGAGTCGGTCATGTAGGTGAGAACGGACGAGTTTAAGTCCTCTGCGCACAGCCTGGGCCCAAGACAGATCAGGACGTATTAGCAACAATGGTATGAATTGATTTGATGAAAACATTATATATTATGGATTATTACATTTCGATACCAACTTTTTTTCTTTTAAATGCGAGGAATAAGGCTTAGAAATCAGTTTATCCACAATTCAGTATTCAAGTCATACAGTACAAGTTATACACATACTATTTGCTAAGTTTGTTGGTGTTTCTTTAAAGCGAACTACCAGGAAACTGCATTAGCTTTTAGGCGGGGCCCCAAAAAAGTATATATACACTATATATTTGTCAATGAATTAGTTTATTTACAGAGCTACTTAAAATGAGGCGTAACTAAATAACACAGAACTCAAATCAGCACAGGCTTCATACAGAAATGTTTCTGCGTTTTAGCATTTACAGTAGCATTCGTTTTTTATGTTCAATTTTGTTTTAGGCTTAATTTATTTTCATTATAACGTACATACTAATTTCTACAAAAAATATCCAGTACATTATGTAAAAACAGTTAAAAAGGACTAGATTAATCAAAAGTAATAGTTTTATCATTTATAATTGACTTAGGAGGGATCGGAAACACGACCTCCAGGGCAAAGGGCAGTGCTCTAACAACTGAGCCACTGTCGCACCACTCAGCAGTTCAATACAAAGGAATCTCAAACCTGAGTAAACTGAGATTATGACCTGACTTGACTGGATGTAAATAAATGTTAAAGTTGTAGCTGGGACAGTCTGACTCTTGTGGGTTTGTGAGAATATACTACGGCCGGAAGAGTCACACATGATTGCATTTCCACACTGTTTAAAGCAACGAGCGGCCGTTAACTGAGCCGTGATATACAAAAGTGCACCGCAGGAATTTTCATTTTGTTTGAGAAAAATTCACAGTCATTTCCTCCTCTTTGCTCCGCCGCCCCGCAGTGTGATGTGGGTGAGTGGTGCTTCTCGGGTCGCTCATATGTGGAGGATTAAAACGCACTTTAGTTTTTACTTTAGCTGATTATATTGTGTACTTTGAATACGGACGCCTTTGGCTTTGTGTTGCGTTCATTTCATTTGGTCCAGGATGCCCAGGAGTTATCTCCAAAGTGACAACAAGTCTTCTTGAGGTCTGTTTGTAATATACTCAGAAATGATTAATTAATAAATAATCACTCTTTTTTATAAAGATAATGTAATGAATATAATGCACAAAATCAAATGCGCAAAAAAGCCATAAACACTAACAGACACATATTATACAAATGTACAGGAATAAGTCTGAATCAAATCTTTTATATGTTTTATTTGATTAAACACAGTGTATCTTTTTTATAAATATATTTATTTTTTATATGTTTATGTAGATTTTAATGTTTTATGCATGATGTGATATGGGTTGTGAGGCGCTTTACAAATAAAAGTTGGCTGATTGATTGATTTATTGATATTATTTGTTTGAAATTTTTATACCTTTTTTTATGTCTTTTTTATGAAAATGAACTCACAGTGGATGATGTCACATGTTCCTGTGTGTTTTCTATTGGCTCTACTAGCTCTAATGACTCACTCAACTATAGAATTTTTGATTCGTCCATGTGATTGATACAAATGGCGTTCTTTGGAAGCTCCGCTGTTCTGACCTGTTCTGGGGGTAGGCTGTGGGGAGGCTCTTCTTGCCGTAGCCTTCGTTGATCCAGCGCTCCTCCATGGCGGCTCTGACACTGGGGCGTTTGACGGGATCAGGCTCCAGCAGCGACAGCACAAAAGACACGGCACCTAAGATAAGACAAGATAGACCTGTCACCATTCCACACAGAAGGGACCGTGATAAACAAAAGTAAGCTTGCTACCTGCTGCAGTCCATCAAAGCCTTGGCCAACCTACGTCAAGTAAGTCAGCTGGATAAAAGCGGAAACTTCCCAACATCTAACCCCTTTTCCCGAGCCTCGCAAGAACTTGTACTAGACGAGTCACTTTTGTCTACTCACGCCTCGCATAAACTTGTCACGTTGTCATCTTCATGTGATTCCCTCTGGTGCTGGGTTCAATGCACTTGGACTATTTTGAAAGTCGGAGATGAGATTTGATTCTCTTTAAAAGACGACACAGGTTCAAACAACATGCCGACCTTTCCCACACCATTTAAAAACGAATCACAAACCCCCACAGATCACGGTCAACATAATGAACGGTCATAATAATAATAATCATAAGGAAGCAGCGTTTTTTAATGTCTTTAGCAAAACTATGTCAGACCTTTGCTGACATCGTTGGGGAAGTTGCCGATTTCCCCGTTGATCATTTTCTGATGCAGATGTTTGATGTTGAACGGCTCCACGGTGAAGGGCAGAGTTCCGGTCAGCATGGCAAAAGTACTGACTCCACTGAAAACACAGAGTGGAAAAACAATTGTATAAAATTGTACCGGGCTAAGATGGAATTATAGCTTGGATGAGATGAACCTTTGAGACACTATTTGCACTGTAGCTCTCAAAATAAAATGGGTTCTATCGCTTGTCTTTTTTTAGACACATCTTAACATCTTCAGATCCGCTTTTTCAGACGGAAAAGTGAAAAAGAGAAAAAGTCATCACAGGGCTCAATCTTAAGTATAAAAAAGATTCAGAGGGACTGGTTTGTGCATCATTTTACTTTAACTCTTCATATTAAGACAAAGTATTATTTATGGGGAAAATTAAGTTAGTGTTAAAATTAAAATTGATAATACAAACATTAATCTGTGCCAAAAAAATCTAATAAATCTCTACCAAACATTAGCTCAATACTCTCTGTTATGTTGGACCTTTTCTTTTGATTTTGTCCACAATATCTCTTTCTATGGTGATGATGGAGCAGAGTTAGACTTACTAACGACATCAGTTTGCTCAGTAATCTAATTAGTTACTCTCTGATGTAACTCATTATTGTAACTTGGATCGCAGCAGTTAATAACATAGAGAATTTTGGGATGAAAATCAATGCTCATTGATTTAAACAAACTGATTGACGTTACAGTGGACCAATCAGAAGTAGTAGGCGGCGGCCAAAGTATGTTTCTCTATGTTTTCATTGGCAAAAGGTGCAAGAATTATTTTGAAAGTGAAATAATGGGAGTAAAGACAGATGATAGCAGGAGGGACATGTACGTTTGGAGGTTCTGATCATAAGATAAGATAATAACCTTTACATGCCCCACAGTGGAGACATTTGACCGTACAGAGATGTGGTCTGGATCTGAAGAGAATACAGGACCGTCTCTATCAACCTCCACTAAATGTATGTGTATCTGTTTTAAGGTTTGACATCCATGCACTGTCATGTCGCGGGAAAATTTCCATTTTGTTCTGACATCAGTGGATTTGGTAAAAATGCTGTATTGTCGTGTTGTGTGCGTTCAAAGATGCCAGTTCAGAGTTCAGAACATCAGGTTGAAACCTGATGTTCAAATCCAGATTAAAAACAGTTTGTTTTAGCTGTGCATAAAGCTGAGGGATTTTTATCTTCACTTTTCAGAGTCATACGTGGCACTTACACTGACCACACGTCCACCTTGGGGCCGTACTTGCGGTGGGCCAGCAGCTCCGGAGCAGCGTAGGCCGGACTCCCACACTGAGTGCTGAGCAGCTCTGGGGTCAGTGCCTCAGGTCTGAGGGTGTTACTGAGGCCGAAGTCTGGGAGAACACAGAAAAACAAGTGTGAGCAGAGGTTTTGTTTATCAAAGCTCTGTATGAAAACATTAAAAATAAGACACAAAATAATGTGTGTGGGATGTGTGCATAGGGAAAGGTTAAGCTCTCTGTGTGATTGATCGATTTCAGCACGAGCCTTTGGTGGGTTGAGGCCTTTGAAGCTCCACCGCATTCTCTTTTGGCTTTATATTTGATTTAATGTTGTTTGAGTGCTTTATACTGTGTGCGGTAGCACTGCAATATCACCACTCTGGGATGTAGGCCTGCACGATTTTGGCAAAATATCTGTCAACATTTCTGACCAACATTGCGATTGCCATGCCATTTTCAAAATACTGTTTAAAAAGGTTGAAGAGAGTTACATTTGATGAAGTGTAAGATGAAGCGAATTACACCTCAGAAGCAGATCCCACACATTTCAGGAAATCTTTTGCCCAACACATAGTCCAGCATTTTTTTCTTGCAAAAATTAAACAAATAACTCAATTTGCACTTTAACGCTTGAATTAGTTTCTCTCACAATTCTGTGACACATGAACTATGGAAAAGGAATGAGAAAATGCTTGATGACAGAAACACTTATTCCATTGAGAAATTCTCAAGATAAACTCAAATCAAAGAATTATTCCCAAATTGCCTTATTTTTTAGTGCCTTTTTGTTTTCAAAGAGAATCATTAATTGCAATACCAAGTGATTACATCTGAAAAAGTATTATGGCGTAACGACATACCCACTATCTTGATGTTGTTGTGTTCATCGAGCAGGAAGTTTTCAATCTTCAAATCCCTGAAATGAAACAATTAGTGCCAGAAGAAAATGAAAACAGAAATACATTTGGTAAACGTGCAAATACAGCACCATAAAATGCTAAAAAGTTAAAAAAGAAGTAAAAAAGAAGCTTGAATTAGGGAAAAAATATACAACAAATCTAACTAGAAATTAAAAGAAGAAGATGCATTTTAAAACATGTGCTCATGACCAACAAGCAGCAAACCGTCTGCCAGAAAATGTGTCTGAAACTGAATATTAGAGATGGGGTTAGGAGCATTGTGAAGCACGAGGCTTTTGGAAGCACTGCTGTCTTGTGGATAAATGTAATCGTTTTAGCTTCTTAAATTTTGTTTCCTAAATTCTTTATTTTTGCGGTAATATTGCATTTTTTTTACACGCGCATTCCCAACACATGCGCGCAGCAGCACTGTCGGCCAAAACAAGTAATCGCATGCAAAGTCCAGAACACATGTTTTATTTCCTAAACGTGTAACGATAAGTGATACAAGCTCTGAAGCTCCCGTTTCATTTGCACATCACTACTTAACATTAGTGCTGTCAACAATTAGAATATTAAACTGCATTCATGTCATGGATAACACATTATAGTTAATATATTTATCCCTTGATTTGGTTTGAAAAGGGATTGGATGAAGCAATCCAATCCCTTCCAAAAACAAAAAAAACTAATTGGATTGTCTAAAATAGGTTTCTCAATCTCTGCTTTTGTTTTTGCTTTTTACAGAGTATAGAACTATAGAACAAAGTAGAACTGACTTGAATTGTCTAATAAATATGACTCCTTTGTTCATGTTTTTATTATAGACTCATGCCCATAGAAATAAATATAGCTTTAACGTTTGGGCTGTGACCTCAAGATAGCGGCGCGGAGGAGGCCGTGGGCTTGATTTCAGATACGTGCTTGTGGAAAATGACTTGAGCTCAACACACGGTGACAAACCGCGTGGTCGGGCGCTTGTCAGCCCTTGTCAGTCGCTGTGTATGCAGGGCGCAAGCGTACTATGTTCACCCTAACCCTTTAGTTTAGACAGTGAACAATAAACAGAGAGACCTCTCTAACCTTGTACCAGGTTAGAGGTACCAGGGGTGGGACTTTCCCGTCTAGCTACAGCTACATCCGGAGTGGGGTTGTTTTTCTTACATTACTAGTTGTTGCAACCACGTGTGAAAGTGTACTCGGTCAAAAGTAAACTGTAACTCTGCAATAAAAAAATTGGCGCTGTTAGTTTTCGTTAACGCCATTCGGTTTCTTTAACACCGTCAAGAACGCGTTTAACCAGCAGCAGTACTGAATATAGTTAAAGTAGTACTAGAATTTAATATGCTGCTATCCAGAATATATAACTACAATATGTGTTTATAATATTTCGGGTGTTCATTTTGACATGTTCAGATGAATTATGTTAAAAAAACGGCTTTCAAGTGGCACTTTTTCACTTCCGCATAGAAACGCTAGGGGGCGCCAAAATGGCGGCGATGACGTAGGAGAAGGGTATCTCACAGCAGCAGCAGCAGTCTGGGCTGAATCTGTAGGAGGTTTCACTGTCATCTGAACAAGGTATAAACATATTTTCATCCGTTTTGTACATAATAGTGTGCAACTCTTTTAATCTTTTAGCCTTATTTGTGAGATTCAAGCTAATTAGTGTTGGGCAAGTTAGCTAACTCTACTTGATATCATAAAACATGCTAACAAGGCTAATATTCGTGTTTACATTATGCCAGTATCACTGTGGTTGCCTTAGATTTATTTACCACAATGTACATTGTAATATTCAAAAATGCTAACACCTATGAACGGTTTAATTAGCATTTTTATCAATGATTGCATCACATGTAGTCTATGTTTTCAACTTCTGCAGCTTTTTGTTCATAAAAGTAAAATATTTATTTAATTAAAGTTATTTTGATTAGCATTTTTGAATATTACAATGTACATTGTGGTAAATAAATTCAAGGCAACCACAGTGATACTGGCATAATGTAAACACGAATATTAGCCTTGTTAGCATGTTTTATGATATCAAGTAGAGTTAGCTAACTTGCCCAACACTAATTAGCTTGAATCTCACAAATAAGGCTAAAAGATTAAAAGAGTTGCACACTATTATGTACAAAACGGATGAATATATGTTTATACCTTGTTCAGATGACAGTGAAACCTCCTACAGTTTCCAACCAGACTGCTGTCTGCTGCTGTGAGATGCCCTTCTCCTACGTCATCGCCGCCATTTTGGCGCCCCCTAGCGTTTTTATAAAGGTGCCACTTGAAAGCCGTTTTTTAAACATAATTCATCTAAACATGTCAAAATGAAAATAAGGGATAGTTAAAGTTGGTCCAGGTCGTTGTGTTAGATTCTTTTTGTATTAGGGAAATAAACCTTTTTGAATTTAACTTTCTGAATCATGGTCATCTTTATAAGGGATTTTGAACACGTCATTTTTTAATACGATAACCGTTATGGCAAAAGAAGTCTGACTTTTTGGTTTAATGCATTAGTTTGTATGTGCCCAAGACCCCAACGAAGAAAGTAGTAAGTAATCGTAGTAGTAGTAAGTAATCTTTATTTATATACCGCCTTTTCAATGCAGATCTGAGTCTCAAAGCGGTTTTACAATTGTTAATTGTTTTGTTAATTAAAACATGCTACATTGCCAAATTCGGTCATTGAATGCTGCTTTCCAGAAATAGCACCGACCATTTTTCTCAACAAACGAGAAGCATAGACAGACCGCCGCAGCCTAAATACTTGTTACACTCTTTTACAGCGACACAGCGGTAACCTAATGACAACAAAACATTGATCGGGTTTCCAAACACGCTTTCAAATTACAGCGTCCCATCCATCTTTGCGGCCTCCGATGCACGGGCCGTTTACGCATTTCTCTGTGATCAATAATAGATTCCAGGTCTGTATTCAGGACTATGACGTGTTCAATGGATGTGTCTGCATGTATGGGAATGTGCTGTTTGTCTGGGTCAGATTGCAGAGGACTGGCTGTCACTCAGCTGATGAAGAGGAGGAGAGGGGCTTCTATCCGCTCTGTAATCTGAGCTAACACACACACGGCTTTAACTTAGCCACTGTAGCTGCACTGTACAGTAAAGCCGCTATAAGGTTACAGCTGTCCAGGTTGTAGTTTGAGAATTACGATGTATAGAGCAGACTGTTGGGTTGGATTAAGTGCACAACGGAAACAAATGGGTTTACATACACGGTGTGAATGTGCATCTCACTGTCAGAAGTACAAACATGTTTTATAGGTCAGTTACTTTTACTTTTTTTTAATTAATTGCTGTATTTTTGAGAAAGGTGGTTTAAAAATACATATTATGCTATTACTTTTGAATGCGCTGGAAAACGGCAGCAGGTCCTATGTAGCTCTGAAACAGTTGTTGTTTTGTGCTTGATGCATTTTATTATTCTTGCTTTTTTCTGCCTGAGATGTTGGTGCAGTACAGTGTCAATGGTTTTGCACTGGTCCGGACCGAAGCGGAGAGGATTCATGGTCCGAACCAAGTGGATCAGATGAAACTCCACTGGAGGAATGCTAACTTTTGGAAAAATGCTAATGAACTATTCAGCATTTTACTTTGGACTAGAGCAGAGAAAAATTCTCCGAACCAAGCGGCTACTCCAACATGTGACCCGTCCTGCTCCACCCAGAAACTACTCTCTGCTGCTGTGACCCGTCCTGCTCCACCCAGAGGCTTCTCAATCTCTGCTGCTGTGACCTAAAGAGCTGTTGCTGATGATTACTATTGTTAGCTTTTTTGAATTATCAATTTTATTTTTTATTTTTGGTGCTACTGGACACCTGAATTTCTCTGACGGGGATCAATAAAGTATCTATCTATCCATCTATCTTTTGTTTATGTCAGAGGTTTATACATACATTTTAGGCCTGTCAAACTTGTATGGCATTTGTGACAAAACTAGCTAAAAAACCATAAGCTAAAGGCCAAAGGAGATCTCGCTATACGGTTTGCTATTGGCTATATGTTTAAGTTAACATAGATAAATCAATGACATCTGACCCGGAAAGTCAGATGAAAGTAGAAATATGTGTTTTAACAAAAAAAAAAAACATATTATTGATTTGTTTTCTCCCCCTAATTCTGATTATTTTTGACTATGGTGGACCCCTGCAAGCCCTTTGGACCAGGGCATATGTGCATAACATTCATTCCCTCTCTATGGGACAGTAAACATTCTCTTCTGATTGCAATGCATTTATTAGTCAGTTAATTAGTAGGCCATCGCTATAACAACTTCTCACCAATAATGTTGTAGTTCTTTCGAAGGCTGAGTTTGAGCGGTACTCTCCTTTTCACGTTTCTGTTTGTAAGGACTTGTGGAAATTTGTAAGATTATCATTCCTCTTCTTTCGTTGACAGGGATGCCAGACGGTACTGTATTTACCTCCCATCACCCCTGTTTTACTGTCAAATAAAAATAAGCATTTCTTTCCATTTTGCTTGTTGTTGGTCATCAGATCTGGCCACTCATCACTGTCAAGATTGAAACCTATTCTAAAAGCAGTGTTGAACCTGTGACCTGTGGCAGGTCTCAGTCTCTCAGAGGTTTCCTGAGGTTTGACAGAGTTCTGCTCCTGACAATTGTGTACGTTTGTTTTTTCATGTGTCTCTCATGCCACTCTCATGCCTCATTGTCCGGCTTACTGTGAAATGCAGAAGTAGCCTGAGTAGTCTCTACAGCTACAGCCTCTTACACCAACATCTCTGGAGGAATGTCCTGAATCCTCTCCATCAGTGCAGAATCTGGGATCTTGTTTCTGAGAAGATGTGTTTCAATGAGGACGTTACTCCAGGCTTTTGGCTTCACTGAAGTGAAAGCCTCCTTCTGTTCAAACTTCTCTTTTATCTGGTCCCAAACCGTTCTTTTAGCCAGGATAAACTCTTGTGGAGCTTTACCTTCAGAATGTTGGGTTTTACTGCTCTGTTCTCTGGTGACATGTTCTTTCGTTGATAGGGATGCTAGACGATACTGTGTTTACCTCCCATCATCCCTGTTGTACTGTCAAATAAGAAAAATAATTCATAATGTTGGATTAGATGTTGTATCCAGCACTGAGTTTCCATATGAATGTGCATTTTTTCTTGTCTCAGAAAAGTGTAACAGTTATGCACATACATCCCAATCCACTTGAAGAGAGTGAATACAAATGTATGTGACTAAAGGCTCTAAATGCTTGGCATTTCAACCTCCCATTACATTTGTGAGTCTTCAAATTTGCATTCATATGTGATGGAAATGCAGTTAATGGTGTCAAATTTGATTTGGTATTATTGCTGTGATTTTATGCCATCTGTCCCAGTGTTGCCATGACAAAAGGTCTAGTCTTGTAGTCCCTCTGTCTTTCAGGTTTTGATTTCTCTGATGATTTTTCTGAACAAATGTGTTCATCAGACACCAGAAAATTTGGAAGGAAGTGAAGTCTTACAAATAACATATATGACTTGGTTTCTTTCCATTTTGCTTGTTGTTGGTCCTCAGATCTGGCCATTCCTCACTGTCAAGATTGAAACCTATTCTAAAGGCAGTGTTGAACCTGTGACCTGTGGCAGGTCTCAGTCTCTCAGAGGTTTCCTGAGGTTTGACGGAGTTCTGCTCCTGACGCTTGTGCTCGTTCGTTTTTCCATGTGTCACTCGTGCCACTGGTTGTTCTCTCCTCATAGGTGCAGATGCTGGGATGGACACAAGCGTATCTTGTTTTTGAGGACCTGTTTCGATGAGGATGTTACTCCAGGCTTTTGGCTTTACTGAAGTAAAAGCCGCTGCCTCCTTCTGTCCAAATCTCCCTTTTATATGGTCCCAAACCATCTTTTTAGCCGGGATAAACTCTTGTGAAGCTATACTTGGAGCATGTTGGGTTCTACTGCTCTGTTCTCTGGCAACATGTGTCTGAGAAGTCTGAGGTTTGACAGAGTTTTCTTCATGTGAACTGTGTGTATCTGCTTTTCTCTGTGTCACCTCTGCCTCTGGCTTTTGTTGCCTCTTCTTGTTCCTCCTTTTAGTCTGTTTTTGCCATCCATTGTCTGGTTTAGACTGAAGCTCAGATGTAGCCTGAGTGCTGTGCCTCTGGCCTGTGGCAGGTGTAGGAACTGGGATGGACACAGCTGCAGCCTCTTGCACCAACATCTCTGGAAGAATGTCCCAAACACTCTCCATAGGTGCAGATGCTGGGTTGGACACAGGCGCATCTTGTTTCTGAGGAAGTGTTTCAATGAGGATGTTCCTCCAAGCCTTGGGCTTTACTGAAGTGAAAGACGCTGCCTCCTTCTGTTCAAACTTCCCTTTTATATGGTCCCATAGCATCCCTCTAGCCGGGATCAACTCTTGTGGAGCTTTACTTGGAGCATGTTGGGTTCTACTGCTCTGTTCTCTGGCAACATGTGTCTGAGAAGTCTGAGGTTTGACAGAGTTCTCTTCATGTGACCTGTGTGGATCTGCTTTTCTCTGTGTCACTTCTGCTTCTGGCTTTTGTTGCCTCTTCTTGTTCCTTCTTTTTGTATGTTTTTGCCATCCATTGTCTGGTTTAGACTGAAGCTCAGATGTAGCCTGAGTGTCGTGCATTGGTCCTGTGGCAGGTGTAGGAACTGGGATGGACACAGGCGTATCTTGTTTTTAAGGACCTGTTTCGATGAGGATGTTACTCCAGGCTTTTGGCTTTACTGAAGTGAAAGCCGCTGCCTCCTTCTGTCCAAATCTCCCTTTTATATGGTCCCAAACCATATTTTTAGCTGGGATAAACTCTTGTGGAGCTTTACTTGGAGCATGTTGGGTTTTACTGCTCTGTTCTCTGGCAACATGTGTCTGAGAAGTCTGAGGTTTGACAGAGTTCTCTTCGTGAGGCTTGTGTGCATTTGCTTTTCCCTGTGTCACTTCTGCCTCTGGCTTTTGTGGCCTCTTCTTGTTCCTTCTTTTTGTCTGTTTTTGTCGTCCCTCCTGCTCTGGTTGAGCCTGAAGCTCAGATTTATGTGTGTCATACATCTGTCCTGGGGCAGGTGTAGGAGCTGGGATGGACACAGCTGCAGCCTGCTGCTGCTCAAACATCTCTTCTCTCACTGCCCCAACATTAGCTGGTTCGGTGGTCTTTGGCTCAAACTTGACCAGATCCAAGACCCTCAGAGGAGCTGGGAGGGTCTCAGAGGAGGGGTCCATGTTGGAATACTCTATTGCCGCCTGCTGAGACACAGGTGCTTGTCCATCCTCTATCTCATTCCTATTGTCTTTCACGTGTATTAGGGTTAGGGCTATGGAGCTTCTGTAAGCGCTGCAGGAGATGTGTGCGTTTCTGACCACTGCATTGTGGTCCTCCCATCTATTGGTCAGCACGCGCCATTCCACTGACCCATCTGGGACTTCAGACCCATGGCGATCCCCTGTCCTTGTGAAGTTACATATAGACATTCTAACAAAGTGTGTGTTTGTGTGTATTTAGAGTCGGAAAAGGTGAGTTAAATGTCCTCTGCCAAAGCTATAGATTATAACAGTGGCCGTTTCACACACACACATGTTTTCTACAGAAATAGAACATGACATCATCAATGATGAAATATGTGGTTGTTATGGCAACATCAAAGATAGAATGGAACAGGTAATTAGAATGTCGCCATAGTAACCTCTCACACATAATGTTCTTTCAAGGACTGAGTTTGAGCGGCCTTCTCCTTTTCTCTTTTCTGTTTGAAAAAGCTGATCTAAAGATGTGACTGAGGCCAAAGGAGATCTTGCTTTATGTTTTGCTGCAAATGTTCTGGACTTGTTTAAGTTAACGTGGATAAATCAATGACATCTGTCAGGGAAAACAGAGTTATGTGTTTGACCAAAAAACATTTTTTGATTTGTTGCCTTCATGTGTCCTCCCGAAGCGCAACTAAACTCACTAAATTAAATCTGGGAAAAATTAACTATAGTTAATGCTGGTTGTGCCCAAAACTAAAATGTTGTGAGCAAATCAAACAGATTTAATGACATTATGCATTCTCATCCCTGTAACAAACAAGTTTGTAGAGGCACAATAATGAAGAGGATCCACAGCCTTCATGAGACAGAGAAGAGGAAGAAAGAGGAGGCTTTAGCTGAAGTGGAATATGGCTCGCTGAAAACAATCTGTCTCCTACAGAAATACAGAATGTTAATAATGTTACTGCCATTTTTATTTATTTATTGTTGTTTTAATAAGCAAATACAGTACATTAGTACACTATATAGTCATTTATTTATCTTTCCATTCAACCAACCATGTACAGAAAAATATGGCATCATTTTGCCGATTGTTTGGGACACAATTAAATACAATTAATACATTTTTAAGCTGTGTTTGACTCGACTGTAATTTGACAGCCCTAAAAAATGGTATTTTTAAAAAAATAAATAACAATAATATAATAGTTATAATAATAATAACAGCAATCATATTAATAGTCCTATATCGTAATAATGATAATAATGATAATAATAATAATAATAATAATAATAATAATAATAATAATAATAATAATAATAATAATAATAATAATACTATAAATAAGGGTTGTTGAATTGTAATAATATGTATATTCATTTCTCATGTGCACTTTCTCTGTGAAATTGTATGAATCTTGCTTCAGGAAATGTTCTGTTTCTGTCCTTTGTGGATTAAACGAAACAACAAAGGGTTTGCTTTACGGCCTATTTTGAAAAACATTAATGAATTCTCTGAAACACTCTCTCATCTGTCTTTAGATCGGATCGATGATGTTGCACAATATGTCTTTTAAATGAAACCAGCGGCACAAGATTAGCTTAAAAAAAAATACAATCCATTTTTATATCAATTTCAACCCTATTTCACTTTTGCTTCCATGATCAAAACAAGATGTAGAGACCAAATATAAAAAATGTAAAAAAACACATTTTCAAGAGTTTAATACAAACCGTGTCTGTGCTGTGAGATCTGCTTTGGCCCTGAGCCCTCGTCTAATGTGGGCCATGGCGCTGTTAAACTTCAGTTAATCGCAATCAAAACAGACTGTAAAAGCATTTTTCTCTTTGCAGCGAGATGAGATGCCAAGTTATTTTTATAGGAGCAATCGGCAACTTTGCACAATCACTTTTCAAGCAGCAGTAAATGTGCGAAGCCTCCCCCGCAGAGCTTCATCCAGGACCTGCAGACTAGAAGCGGATTAGAGGGTGAAAAATCTACAAACATTTGACCACAAGCCCTGTACTTTTTCTTTTTTTTAAGTTTTCTCCATGTAAGAGGAAGTGCTCTGTTAGCATGTTAGTTGTTGGTGGCTTTAGAGTCAGAAAAAAACCCAATGTCTGCCATTTCCAGTCAGCGGCCTGTGCCCATTGGCCAACGCTCGCACCATGGACGTCCCAAATATTAGTGACACATTTTGGCGGCGTTATGAGGACCAGAGAAACACAGCAGCGTTCTGACCAATCAGCCCTGAGGACGGTAGAGCCTGCTTGATTCTTTATCATTTTGCCCTGGCACGTTATACCTTATTTTAAATCAATATTTCTCAAGAAAGCAACCATGTAATTCAATCTATATATATATTTTTTTTTAATCTAAAACATGATTATTACAAATGGTTGAATATTACTTTTTATGTTCAGGCATACAATATTTATCCAAGTTTTGGTGTTTTTATGTTGGTTTTAAAGTATTGCCTGCAAAGGAAAGAAAAATAATAATTTTCTCCATAGACCTCAATGTTAACAACAAATGTCTGTGCTTAGCTGACAGGACACGTACAGCTTTGTAATAGGTAAGATTTTGTCTCTATTCGCCATTAACTATTTTCTTTTTTATATCCATCGGAACCCAGAACTAGCAGAAAAGCAGCTAATGGCCCAAGTTCAGCATGCACCAATGAGCACAGCTTTATGGATCAATCTATCACTGACACACGATCATCACTTCTGGATCTATAGCCTGTCCTTTCATGGTAGATTTCTTTTTTATTCCCCCTGGGTTTGTGAGTTTTACCAATTCAACAGAGTCTTAAGCCATGTTTGCACCAGCCCAACTTGGCCCTACTCTACCCTGATTGGGAGCATTTCCATAGGCCCTGTTTAACTGGTACTAAAGCTATAGCTAGCTACTAAACTGGTGCTAAAATGTTCTAACTGCCAGTATTGACCAGAGTGAAGCTGGAAGCCATGGTTACAAAGGAATTTATTATGGGTAGATTAATAGAATACAGTACTAGATATTAAAGTGTAATGGAAACGCAACCAGGTACAGTAGAGCCAAGCCGAGGTGGGCCAAGTAGGATCGTGTTTATTTGAAAAAGGACAGGTGCACGGGACAATGACTTTAGTAAGCCCTTTATTGTTAGCTTCATTTCTCTGTGTCTCTGTGTTTTGAGACCACTGCTCTTGGGATTTTGAGCTTTGCAAAAAAAAATCTTACGTGTTTGATTCCCTGTTTAGCTGTGTTTACACATGTTGTACTATCAGTTTTTACAACATTGTTCCAACAAGTTGTTTTTAGACCCAACCATGCTAATATGAATTTCAAAACAAGACAAAAGCAGACTCTAAAACATGAAATGACTCATTAGTCTCACTAAAATGTGTAATGGCCATCCTATAATCATACATCCTCTTTAAATCCAGTATAGAACAGCTCAACCCGCTTTGGTATGAAGTCAGGATTCTTCCAAACAGCACAAACTATTGGAACATAAGTGCTCCCCAATTGCTGTTACTGCGAGCGAGGGACTCCATAAAAACAGTGAGACTTGGAGTGGGTGCTAGGTGTGAACAAAGTGCTTCCAATGCCACATTTGGGGGTGACATAACGAACGAGGAGCGCCTGTAGAGAGGTGGGCCGTGAGTGAGAAGCAGAGAGACCCCAGCAGCTTTAGAAGTGAAAAACAAATGTGAGTTAATAGGACCTCCAGAGCCTTATTATATAACCTCAGCGGTGGCGTGTTGGGGTGTTTGCCGCGGGCTTTTTGCAGCGTTTCCATGGCGCTGAAAGGTCACAGTGGCTGCCAGAGACCGCAGCCTATTTCAGCGTTAACCCCGAAAGCCCGGATTATGCTCTTTTCCTCCAGTTCCACTTCTCCCTAAGCTGTGATCGGAGGTTGCATGAGGGGGAGACATGGTCAGATAGGAGAATTGTGTCTCTTAAAGCAGTGGTTCACAACCTTTTTTACCCTGTGTACCCCTTCTCCAGTACAGATAGGCACAAGAACTACGTGTTGTTTTGGGGGTCGGGGGCCAGATCTGTTTTTAGTCTGCACTGTTATTCCAAGGTCTCTATTGTTGCATATTTTTGTACATTGTGTAGGTATTTTGTCCAAGTTGTTACTTTCTAAGTTGACTTTTTGATTTTTCTGAACACTTTTTCTCTTTTTACACCAAATTGTATAGAGCTTTGTGTGAACTTGGTCTGTGAAATTTACTAAATAAATTAAGATGATTTACTTACTTTTATACTTGGACAGAACCACTACTGGACCAAAAGTAAGGAAGTCTTATTATTGCAGCTTGATGGTACAAGCATAACTGTTATTGTTACTGTCTTGGTTCAATGTTTCGAAATTACTAAATTATTTGGTTGTTCCTGAGAAAATCCTTGGTAAAACAAAAATGAAAAGAAGCTAGTACTGATAAATTATGTATACATGTTTCGACGGTATAGACTTCCGGCTTCCATTTAACAATTACTTTTGTACTCTGTGTATTATGTGTGATCCTAAACAACTGCGCGGTGATGTTATTGTTGTGAATTTTGAAAAAAATACATTTAAAGTTGAAGCCAAAACCAGCAACATTTCTCCTAACAAACTGGCCACCCATATGCATTTTTTTTTTTAAACTGGTTAAAAAGGATTTGTAAATGTTGACCTATTTGCTGGGGATGCAAATAATAGATTAAATTTCAAATTCAAATATTACCTACTGTCCAGTTAGGACTGCAAAAACTGAAATAAAATAAGTAAAAAAAAACATTTGACTGCCATTTTGGCTGCCTTAAAACAATACAGCCAATGGGACAAGCAAAACTATGTTGTTATGAAAAGAGGAATCACAAAATAAAGCAACAGTTCTTGATATAAGCCTGAATAGCTCTGCAGAAAGTACTCAAAATAAGATTAAAAAACACTTGATTCAAGAAATTATTACCTCACATTTTGTCCTTTTTTGCAGTGTAA